TAAAAACAGTCTTTAATTCTTATTAGGTGAGCTACGACTACAGGCATTCTCCATTATGACTTAATGGTAATGACAACGGCTGGTAACATACAAATTTCAGGTTTTTAAGTCTCACTGAACATCTTAGCTTTGATTTGTATTAATTTCATTGCTGTTATAGAATGCCCATTTGATTGCCTATTTACAATTAATGTAATGTATAGTACTAGAACTACTGATTGATTTATATATATAAAACTTCCCAACATTACATTGTACTATTTGGCTGTAAACTTTCACACAAACACACACACACAAAAAAAAACATTTATCTTATACAAACTTATATTCATGTTTATACTATACTTAAACAAAATCTATATTAATATTTTCAAACAAAGTTAAATCTTTCATATCACTACAACACTGTCAGGTCATGTTAAAATCTGACAACAACCAAATAATTAAATTATGCTTTTAAAGCACATGTAGCACAGTGCATTTAAATCAAATAAGCTTTTGCCTCCTCTTTACATGCTGGCCATGTTTCAGGCTACTTGCTTAAGTGTGTGGAAATGTAAAAACTATGAGAAGAGACTAGAAAGTTCCAAAACAATGTCAGTGTAACTTGACTGTACTTCATAAGTCTCAATGAGAAAAAAAAAAAACTTATGCTACTTATACAAAAGTATATTAAATTATGACTAAACACATTTCATTATGAGCTAAGGTACATATGGAGCTTAAGAATCAAACCTAAACACCCTAGGAAATTATTAGTTAATATTACTCAATCACATTATACCTATAAATGTTTAGCTCATTGTTTTAAGGTGATTATATTCATCATATCTACAACTTAAGAATCAAATGAATCAAACCTAAACACCCTAGGAAATTATTAGTTAATATTACTCAATCACATTATACCTATAAATGTTTAGCTCATTGTTTTAAAGTGATTATATTCATCATATCTACATATTAGAACTAATGCTAGCACAATCAAAACACTAACTTTTTTGAAACTCTTTTGACCTCATGATAAAATATTGTTTTGTAAAGATAAAAATCTTGGTAGCCACTGCACGTGCATGAAAGTTTTTTTTAGTAAAAAGTTTCATAGCTATTTGACTACAACGCAAAATTCAAGTCATTTTTTTTGCCTAGCCCTGCTCTAATGAAATAAACACACTAACTAAATTATTTTAATACTACTTTCATTCCTTCATAGACCATTCTAACACTTCATGAAAAATACCAACAAATATCATATAGGTCATCAAGTCACCTCCAGTTCATCAACAAAGAAATCAAGTCTTGAAGCTTCCCTTCATAGCTCATTTTTTAAAACTATGTATCACTTCAGTAACTGATCTGCACATTTCTCAGCTAACCAAAATTCATTCTCTAATAAGACAACAAACGTATAAGTAATCTAAGTGACATCTTGAAGCAAGGATAGTAGCCTAACCCAGTCAAGAGCAAAAGGGGTCATTCTGCCTTATTAAAATGTGACCCAATTTCCAATTTTTGTGCTACTCTTAAGTCAGCCATCTCCAATCCAAATGACAAAAAACTAAAAACATTACATGTTTACTCTTAGGTGAAGCTGTAGTAAAATTGTTAGACCAATAGATCATGTGATTTTTTTCATAGGCATGCTCAACAATTTGCCAAATTTGAGCAGTTTTTGTTGAATAACTTTGCACATGTGGCTTATATTTACACCAAATGAGACTCCTAACTGTAGGTTAAAAAGATCTATCAGTGTGCCAAATAAAAATAACAAAATCCATAAAAGTTAACTATGTTTTTCTATCAAATAAATTTTCTGTACTTTGTTGTGAAGAAAAAAAAAGAAGGAAGAAACTCAATCAAAATTGGAGACATTATATCTCAGATATTTCTTAATGGATTGCCTTTAAATTTAGTATGTGAAGTAAGAGTCCAGTAGAGCACATCCACTGAAAATATGTGATAGTTTGGATTACCACACTCCGAGATAAAGAAGGTGGAAAATCGCTTAACTATCACTCCTGTTAATAACACACAGTGTCCTGCAGCAGGTTGTTTTGGCTACACGTGTGTCTTGATTAATTGTTATTGGAGTACTTAGGGCTTTTCTGGTAGAAGTTCTTACATAATTCTTATTACACCAGTATCTCAGCTATCCAACTACTAGGTTAATTTTTAGTTTTGATCTATGCAGGTAGCTTGCTTTGATAATAAAGTTAATGACAACAGAAAACAAAGCTGAGTTTTCATAACACTTACAAAATAGTTTTAGTGGCTGAAACATTGAACGATATTTTACATCTATATCTAGTGAATGCAAATTTATTGCCTGATTTAGGTAGGAATAAATTCAGTGAAGTTATAACATAATGGAGTTTTTACTGAAAAATGTTATCTGAAGAAAATTTGGAATAATTCCCCCACCCAAAGTTTACCTTTTAAGGTTCCTCGTAAATATTAAAAGCATTGTTTCAATAACAAAAATGTAAAGTACTACCACAAGAAGCAGTATCATGAACCACTATAGTGGTTCATAATAGGGATCGCAAGGAATTGTACAAAACTCTAATAGAAACATTTGGGCAGAAAGCACCATTAAACAGTAAAGATTAAGTTCAAACAACACTTTGAAATCCTTACTATTGACTGTTAAGGCTGTATACATCATCATCATCATCATAGACAGCAGTACATCGATAATTCTACCGATGCTTAGCTGCCACACAATCATACAAATGCACAAAAAAAGCATGCATGTTAGACTTACAAGGAAAAGAAAATCTGCTCAAAATGATCCTATCTTGTTTGCATAGTTTTTGAAGGATTGATATTAGCCATCCCTATATTTACTTCCTTTTTTAAAAAGGTTTTCTTTACTTCTAATCTACCAGATAATAAGACAGTCTGAAACAAACATGTTTCCTCAAACTGAGGCTATTAAGTGTGAATTAAATGAAAAAAAAACATTAGAATACAAGCTCTCCAGACACACCTGAAAATATAACTTGACTGTATTAAACAATTACAAAGATGAGTTGCCCATGCCCTGTTATACAGTGTACATATGAGAAGGAAAAACAACCATGAATCCAAACTAATTAGCCACAGCATAGCAGCCTATAGAAGGGCTCCAAGTTTTTCAAGTACAAGCTTCTCATACCTCTGCCATCTCTTGACCAATTTCAGATCTAATTATAATTTTGGACTCAGGAGATCAAACCCTTTCGACTGATGTGTTTGACCATGCCCAAGGTCTCATTAATTTACTCTAATCCTGCCTAAAATAATTTCAATTTACAGGTAGGCTGGTAGAGATCCTGATGAGCAATAAATATGAATCAGGTATACACATACTCAACATTTGGTATTGCTGTTGCACAAAAATATAGCTAATAAAAATGAAAAAAAAGTCTTGTACATGAATTGACTCTATTCTTACCCAAAAGAATTTTTCTCTGAAGTCATTACAAGAGCAGTATACTTCTACAGTTTGTTTTCATTGCAAGTTTTATTTCTAAAAGTTTCTGATAATATAGTAACCCTACCTCTTCATGAAAGTTCCTACTAAAATCTTAATACATTTTATGAACAGCCTACTCAGTTGTTAAACTCAAAATGTGGTACACATTTTTTTTTGGTGTGAGTAATGACATAGTACAACTAGCTTATCAAATATACAACATTGTTCACAGCAACTAATGCCATGAAACTGTTTAGGACTGAATTGAAAAGTTCTATAACTGCAACTAAAATTCACTTCTAAAAAAGTTTTTATCCCACCAAAGTATTTTTAAATGTTACAATGCAACTTTCAATGAAACAGATATTATAAACAGAATAAACGCTATATTACTTCTCTTTTCCAAAATTTAATCCATGAAGATCATTTTACACTAGAAAAGTTATCTAATACAGCAAAAACACACTAACAAAGTAACTGTAACTAAGAGTAGAATTAGAATAGAAAAGTTTATAAGGAAATTAATCAAGACTGTAAAAGTGCAATCCAAATCCAATCAACATACAGAAGTTAAAACATTGATAAGTCACTATAATATCAACTTAAGTTCTTAAGACCTATCGGTAATTCTCTGTTACGATATTTTAATACATAATGAAAACTTGTGAAAAAACTAGTTTAGTCTTACATCTAAAACTTATCTTCCAAATAAACTGGGTACATTTTCAGTACACGCAATTTCCTTTATAATACGTTAGGCTTAACAATAACACGAACCAAAACTATCTTGCCATTTGCCACAAAACTCAGCCACATGTTAAGCCTAACAGTAACTATTAGTACTAAA